GCATTTTCTCTCCTGCCGCACCCACTCTTGCAGTTCAGCTAGTGGCCATATGCTCATTATATGCTTTTGTACTTAGTGCTTACTTGATATTTGCTGTTCAGCTCAAGGCAAACCGTAACAGGTTGGGGGAAGTGTCTAGGTGGGATACTGTAGTGTGTTTATGCTTATGGAAATATTGATTTGATAGAAGGAAGTAACGAGCACATGAGTCTCTTTGCAGGTCACTTGTTCAGATATTTTGTTGCATTCACCAACGGGGAAAGAGAAGTTACCCAAATCGTCCCTAGAGAGGGAAGAAAGATGGGCAGAAAATAACAAAATGAGAGTCAGTTTGGAAAAATACAAGCTAATACTTCTGAGTAATAATTATCCTAAACTCAGATATTCAGTGGAAAGGATAAATCTGGGAATCAGTAATGCTGAAAGAGTGGACAGAAAATTAGACCTAAATATACTCACGGCAGTAAAATGGGCAAGAAGGTAATTGTCTCTCCTCATACCATGCTGGTGGACTACATATGGAATATTATGTTCATTTCTGGCCACTTCATTGTCAGAGATATATTGATAAACTTTCTAAGACACAAAGAACTGAACATTTTGAAGTCAGGGATAGGAAATCAAACACAATGTAACAAGGGAAATCAGAAGATAAATTGTTAACAGGCTGGCTGGTATACAGGGCACTTCTAAGAGAGACCTTAGATAAGGCATCCTTCATTCTGGGTCATGAAATTAAGCATTCATTTACAGATTTGAGACCCAAACCATTGTTTGATGAGTGAATAGTGGGTTGTGAGTAATGCAAAGAAATGAATATAACTGAAGTATTATAGTAAGCAAACTGGTCAATTCCTGGGTTTAAGCATAGTGGTTGAGGCAACAGATTTTGCTTCATATATGGTTCTGATTCTCATCTCACAGATGTCGATTTGGAGTAGCCTCACTGAAATTTAAAGGTTTAAGGGGAGATGAGTCTGAAGATCTTACATTTAGACAGAACATCTCATTATGAAAAATGCTAAAGCCCTTTTATAAACTGTATATGGAAGAATTTATTTAGTTGCCACTGAAACATGGCAACAGTTGTTGGGATTTAATCTTCCTTGAGAGGGAATAAAATATTTATGGGAAGCACAGTCTCTGCCTGCTCCTCCCATGTTATGTCACCATGCACTTGAATGATTGAGTTACTCTATACTGCACCTGAGGTTCTAGAGAACAGCCTGCTTTAAATCTCTTGCTTTTAACTTGGATATCACACATGCAGAGCTCAACCTTGATTCAGGTTCTTTATTTGGAAAGTGAGGATGTGAAGGGTTCTGATTTCAGCTGAAAGCTCACAAGTAGCTATTTCAAGGACAAGCAGTTTCCTCCACATGGGCAGTGTGTCCTAAAAGTTCACTTTATCCATATCCTTCTCTGTTAATAGTGGTTGACTTTCAGAGAGGACACATATGGGTGGCAGACCTATTACAGAAGCAGACTTCAGCCCCATCAGAGCAGGTTTTGGTGTATTATCTCAGGTGCTCGTTTTGGAGAAGCCTTGTTGAATTGGGGCCTAATAGGTGTTTGCCTAATTTTAAGCATGTGCATCATAGGGATGTAAATGGCATTTTTAAAAAGTAAATGTTTAAACTATTAAAATTGTATTGGTTAAACGTTTAACCGTTAGGCTCCACTGCCAGCCCCGCGCGCCCGAGGTCCCGGCTGCTGACCCCACGCAGAGCCGTGGGCATGGGGGGCCGGCAGTAGAGTCCCGCAGCAGAGTTTAAATGTTAACCGGAATACTTTACCGATAAGACTCATGCTTATCGGTTAACCGATTAACATTTTACATCCCTAGTGAGTCACCCCTTTGATGTCAATAGGATTACTTGTATGCTTAAAGTTAGGGCACACAGTTAAGTACTTTGCTGAATCAGGGTCACAGGAGAGTATATTGCTTTTTGATCACTGTTCTTGACATGCAGCAGAATACATGATAAAGCCAACATTTACTAACTGTTACAAAGCACTAACCACAGATCTCTCAAATTGTAATTATAAGGGAAAATCTGTGATACTTGCAGATGTTTTTATGGGGAACCTATTGGCAAATTCTAATATTTTAATGGCACTCCGTGTACTCCTTGGGAGTGGAGTGGTCTGCACGTCTAAAATTAAAACATCTGAACTTGCATCATTGATCTTGATAGATACTCACAACAGAATCTGGTTCGTAATGTTGTAAGTCTTGCATGTTCCATGCTATCTTTCCTTATACTGAGATAATTGGTACTTAAACTTGCATGTAGTTATCGTCTATGTTTGCTTGTATCTTGTAAGTTGTGTCAGTTATGAGATCTTATTTTCTGTAACAACTGTGTATATTTTATTTTTTGTTTCATTTTAATATTTCAAGTCTTTTAAAAAATAACTCCTTGAGTGAACATGTGTTTTATGTATTATGTCAAACTTAGACGTACATTGAAATATTATCCTTTTGGAATCATAATATTTTGCCTTCATGTATAAATACTCGTTGAAATCACTGTCTGCAAAGCATTTACTATATAGTATTTACCCAGACGCTACTGTGGTATTGAGTGATAAAGTGCAGATTTTCCCATGGAAAACTGAATTCAAAGAACTAGCCCTTTGTATTAAATTTTCTCATAGTAGTACGAGCCACATGAAAGCACCATTACCTAATATTCTTCTACACAGAAGGTGATTGCATTGTCAAAGACTGCTGGTGAGTAATTGCAGATAGTCTTGCCAGAGTGTGACTAACCGGGTGCAAAATTTTAGATTAAATCATTTACAAACTAGTAATGGCTTTTCAATGCACACATTTGTCTAGATTCTAAAACATAAAAATGTGCTTACATTTACATATGGACAATGTGTATCTGTGTGTATAGTGTGTGCATTTATATGTATATATGTATGGATATAAACACATAAAATAACCTTTTGGAGTGTAATACACTATATTTTTGTGAGTTTGGAAGATGGCATGCCTGAGTGGCATGAGGAAGTGGGTGAGAAGCAATTGGATCTCACTAGAGAGAATAAAGCACACTTCAGCCAAGACAGATTGCTGTTTTACAGAAGTGAGTTTTGGGTAGTTGTAACATTTTATCTAGATGTTCAGAGTGTGTGTGTGTGTCTCTCTCTCTCCCTCCCTGTATTCATGAACCTGCATTAATAGTTGAGGTTTTTTCTGTGGTGGTCTTTTGAGTTCTCTGTTTTGCCTTTGAACTTTAGCCTTTTGTGTGATAAACAGATGCGGGAGATGCTGTGCCCAAAAGGAAATTTCCTGCTGGAGAAGACCAAGCAGTATTTGCACAGGTTCTCTCCTGGGGGTTTCAGCGGGGGTGGTACAAGGTGCAGTTTTAAGTTGCGTTCTGGTCTCCTCCACCCCTGCCCGCGCCTATCTGTGTATCCCCTGGCATGTTGGCTGTTTCCTTTCCCCCTGCTAGGGCCTCACACTTTTGATGTAGCACTGGTCCCCTGCAGTCATCATTGCTGCTCTTACCCTCAGACAGATTTTTCTGCCCTGTGCCTTGGGATACACTGTCATAACACGTGGTCAAGTCAAGCCCACAGTACCTAAATTATACAGTTCAGAGTTAGGCTGATGCTCAGTGCAGTGTCTTTACAGAAATTCCACGCTAGCAGCTTTGTGTAAATGCTGTTCAGGGCAGAAGTAGAGTGGAGCTGGGTCAACCCAGTGGATGGCTATGACATCAACCTGCCATTCTGCCTTTAAAAGCCCCAGTCAAAATCATACTGCATTTCATTTGTATTTCTTTTTCCTCTAATCTATATTCAGCACCTTTTGTGTTTAAAAAGTTCAGAACTCAGAACTTCACATCTATTTTTAGCACCAGTCAAACTACTTGGTGAAACCCAAATGCACCACCAAATAAGCGAACTGTGTAAAAGTACTGTTCTAATTAAGCACAAATCAGAACCATTCTCTGTCAGCTTATGTCTGTGCACTGAGAGAGATTTCAACAGGACAGTCATTCCAGCTAAGTGCTTCCCTTCTAATGTCCTCTATTAGCTGGATACAATAATAAAATACCATCTACATTGTGTACATGGAAAGTAACGTGATGGTCATAGAGTCCATTTCCTAACAGGCAAGTATCTGTCATCTTTAAAAAAAAAAAAAAAAAAAAAAAAATGCTGGTGGCAGCCTAGTTATTGTTCTCAAAAGGTAGACAAGGGTTGAATGAGTAGAAAGAGTAATCAATTCTCTTACCCTTCAAAGTGATCCATTAGAATAGGGGTAGGGCACATTGTGGGGAAGTGTTTCAGCTTGTCCAGCTGCACCGCCCATGCCATATCTCTCCTGTGAAAAAAGAGAGGATCTCAGTCTGCCTCGCATGGTGGTCCAGTGGTGTGAATAATTGATTATGTACAGTGATGGCAGGAGCGCCACCAGCTTTTTTGCCGCCCTAGGCGGCGGAAGGTCCGGCCCCCAAAATACCGCCTCCGACAGAGGCAGCGGAAGGTCCCGCCCCTGAAATACCGCCGATGACCGGGGAGGCCGAAGATCCGGCCGCCGCGGTCGCCGCCCCCCAAATGTTAGTGCCCTAGGCTAACCGCCTAGGTCGCCTAATGGGTTGCGCCGGCCCTGAGTGATGGTGATATGCTGTCATCTTTCATCAGTGCTAGACTGACAAAGTATGAAAAGTCACCTGAAGAACTGGAGTTGACAGCCCTACCCACAGCATGAAATTCTGCTTTGCATTGTCTATAAAACACACACCTACAATGTCCAAACAGCTGGTGGAGACCATTAAATGAGAGGATTATGAAATAGAACCATTCTGGTTCATTAATTTTTCCTCCTCTTTGTAGCTCTACAGCTTTCTAACGGAATCTTAGTTTGTTTGTTTTTATATATATATATATATTTTTCTAAAATCTAAAATATTCTGAAAATAATCGAGTCAGATGTTAGATTAGCAAGACATAACTAAATCCCAGTGTCTTTGTTTTAGGAGGTTTTTCCATGGGAGGTGGCATGGCAATGCATTTAGCGTACAGGTATCATCAAGATGTGGCTGGAGTCTTTGCTCTTTCTAGCTTTCTCAATAAGACATCTGCTGTTTACCAGGTGAGTAAATGCCAGTCTTTTTTACAAATATCTTTTGGAGCGCATACAGATTCCACCTAAAAAGATAAACTGATAATTAGGCAAAAACAATTGAAGCACAGCATTTCCTGGGGAGTGGAATTGATTAACTCCAGGTGGTCATTAACCCCAGGGAATGTCCTGCACTGGGTAAGCAAAATACCAGGGACTAAAGGCTTGAAAACTATTTTTATCTTTACACATTGTTTATTTGCTTACTTTTGCAGTCTCACTGCTATTACACTGTGCAAAGTATGCCAAGTGTGCAATGGCACATTAGGCAATTAGATTAGTTACATGGCATCTTTAATTATTGTACCTATTCTTTGAGAATGTCTAGCAGATTATAAAGGTCACGGGCTCCATTCAGCGGTATTCAGGTCAACGTGAATCCTTCTATTCAGGTTACATGGAGCAGGATCAAACACTGCATGTAGATTTTTGCAGTTGTAAGTGGGACTTGTTTAGCATATTGGAATTCCATATATAAACTTTTCATATATCTGTTCAACATTTGCATCTTCTAAAATCCATATTTGAACTCTTTTTCTTCCCCCATCTAGGCTTTACAGAAAAATGAAAGTGTCCTTCCTGAATTATTTCAGTGTCATGGAACAGCTGATGAGTTAGTTCTGCACTCGTGGGGTGAAGAGACCAACAAGATGTTAAAATCATTGGGAGTAGCAACATCTTTTCATAGTTTTCCAAATCTTAAACATGAGTTACACAAAACTGAACTGGAAAAATTGAGCTCCTGGATTGTAAAGAAATTGCCTGTGGAGACAGCAATGTCAAATGAATAAATGAAATTAACTTAACATTTCAAAATAACATGTTTATGTATGGCAAGGGCTTGCCTACAATAACAGTTAATGTACAGCAGGCTAGTGTGAGGTAAATCTACAACCCAGCTTGCCACGCACTAAGGCTACGTCTTCACTACCCGCCGATTCGGCGGGTAGCAATCGGTCTATCGGGGATCGACTTACCGCGTCTAGTGAAGACGCGGTAAAATCGATCCCTGATCGCTCTGCCGTCGACTCCGGAAATCCACCTCGGCAAGAGGCGGCAGCGGAGTCGGCGGCAGCGCGGCAGCGGTCGACTTTCCCGCGTCCTCACCGCCAGGTAAGCCGACCTAAAATACGCAACTTCAGCTACGGTATTCACGTAGCTGAAGTTGCGTATCTTAGGTCGGACCCCGGCTGTAGTGTAGACCCAGTGTCTGTGTGGATCCTGCTGCCTCACTAGTTCCCTAGTGTACTTTTCCCTAGTGTCTACCCTGCTTTGAAACAGGAGTAGATCAAAGTGCACAGTGAATGGTTAGTACATGGCAGCATGGTCCACATGGACAGTTAGTGCATGGAAAACTAGTGTGTGTGTCTATTGCACACTAGCCTGCATCATGCTAACTGTTCACATACACAAGCCCTAAGAGTGTGCATCATCTATTTCGTAAATATAAATCCAGCTTCGTATAGACACTGATGTTATATACAACTTTCTTACAACCTAGCCCGGATGATGATAAACTACTGATACTTACTATGTTTTTACTGTCCAGTATGCAAAACATGGAAGCTACAACATTCTGTGGAAGATACGGAGAGTATTAAAACCATTTATAAATGGTCCAAACTATTTTCAAAACTTTAATATATATTGTTCCATGATTTTCCAGATCATCCTGTTTTTGTTCCAAGATGGAAAAATCTGTAATAGATTTTTTTTTTTTAAAGTATAAAAATAACTTTACAGTCTACAAACGTAGCAGTGTGTAATATAAGGCAAGTTACACTTGAGGAAAAAATTATGGTGCCATTCCTGCAAAGACTTAAGCGTGTGCTTAACTTTATGCACTGAGTAGTCCCATTGGCTTCAAAAAGACGTACAGTATGTAAAGTTAAACACAGACGTACAGGGTTGTACTGCACGTCACAGAAATCATTGAGGTTTGTGTTAAAATGAGAAGTCTTTAGCTTCAGCACTGATGCTTGTTATGTACTATCATTGTGGTGATATTTAGAAATCTAGTTTTGGAATAACTGTTAAAGCCGGATTTGGGGGTTTTTTTGGTTTTGGTTTTTTTAGGCATAGGGAATAATGGACAGAAAGATGCCATAATGGTTCTTAAATATACCCTGTTTTTGGAGGGAAAAAAAATTCTTTGGGAAGAGCGTCTGTAGAGACTTATATTTGTGTCAGCTATTTTGGAGCCTGCAGGATCACGTTTTAAACTAAAAGATGAGGACACTTGAGTCCTCAGTGTGCATTTAAAAGAGCTGTAAATAACAATGATTGTGATATAAAGAAACCTCGTGTCCCCATTATTTATATTCAACCCTGTGTCAGTGTTTGATAAATCTATTCTTATTTCATTTTTTCCTTTGTATTTTCCACTTTGCCCCAATTCCCCCTCCCCAAATTCAATAACTTTATTGGCATGACAAGGTATTTGTGTTGCCAAAGTCAATACATCCAAGTCTCTTGCTTAATCTCCTCCTTCCCCCTTTGTTGAAGAGCAGATTTAGGACACTGTTGTTTGCTCTGTCACAGTAATCACTGCCAGTATTGGCTATGACTTCAGGGGGGTCAGCCAACTCCATGGGGCTGAGAGGTTTCTTTCTACCCTTGTGTGTTTAGCCCTAAGCCAGATTTTACCTATCTTGAAGAGTAAGTGAAGGAAAAAGAGTGTCAGTATTAAAGTACAAGGCATGTAATTGGCAGTAGCAAGTAACAACTTCCTGCTGCTAAAAATATTTTGCGTTATTTCATTTCATTGGCATTAGCAAGTCAGCAGTCTGTTCTGAAAAACAGGACTTTAAATGGCACACAAACTTTACTATTTGAAATAGTAACTGAAAAGCTTTTTTCTTTGCTGCCCTACGTTTCCTAATTATTGCAGATTAAGTTGAAACAGGTGTGCGCTGAAGCAGCTGAGCTAACATTGCCTTAGCAGAGCCATAATTACAACCTGTGACAAGTAGTCTCTTAAAAGTGTAATGACGATGCATCAGTTTGGTTTTTGTACCATTTTCTGCTCTTACTACAGTTGCTGTCATGGGAATTTTTTAAGCACTAACCTTGGGTGGTAACTCATTCTGGTGACAGGTGCAATGAGACGAAGAGAGATGACAAGCTCTTTTCATCCTGCCATTATGGCTTTTTAATGACATCCCAGAGCAGCTCAAAGAAATTGGAACAAATATGGTGAGAATAGGAATAGTTACAAAATGAATCCTGGTTCTTGTGCCCGTCCTTTCTTTGTAATATCAATGGATTACTTTGGTTCCCTTTATTAAACACCATAGTGGATCTGGAGTTTTGTTTAGTTCCATTATACAGATTAGAGACCAACTGTGAAGGTCAGATCCAGATCTGGATTTCACTACATTTTGGAAGATGTTTGGATACAGATTTTGTGCCCATTTCTACTCTTTAACTATCATCACACCTGTGAAGTAGGTAAGTGTTATCCAACTCCTGAATAGATATGTTACGATTTACACACAACCTGGAAATGGTTTTATGTTAATCAGTCTTTATGGTACAAAAGGGTCATGAATCGTCCAATAATCTAAAAACTCTGAAAATATTAATTTTCAGAAAATCTCTATGGAACAGGTGCTCTAAGAAGTACTTTCTGAGTATTACAGATGGTTAAACTGGGACACGGGGGGGGATACAAGTAACGTGTTCAAGGCTTGACTTGGACAGTGTGGTTAGGCCCCCCCCCCCCAGCCAGTATCTAGTTGAGGTTGAGGCATGAATGAAAGTAAGCAAGACTGCCGTGATGATGGTGGGTTGCGGCGAGAGGAGATGGCAGAGGTAATATCAGACCCTTTGACTGAGGGAGTATGTTGGACATTAGTTACTGGGGTTAGCAACCAAGGGGTGATTTTAGACCCCAGCTGCTGTTTGATGACCATATTATAGTAGTAACCATGTTCGCTTTTTGTCAATTGCCCTGGTTGTGATCTTTTCTTTCAGTTGCAGACTTTGCCACTGCTATCTATACTTTTGTAACTTCCTGCTTAGACTACTGCAGTGTGCTCTCCATGCCGCTACACCTTAAAACCATTCAGAGACTAAAGCCAATGTGGCTCACTTGCTGAGAGAGTCATCTCACTGGAGCATATGAAACTACTACTCTGGGATCTCCTCTGGCTGCCTATTGGTCTCTGGGTGGAGTTTAAGGATGTGCTTCCCTGAATGACACAAGGGTGGACTGCCAAGAGTTCCTTTTTGAATAATTAATGCTGTGGGGTTGGTGTTGTAATATTGTGTGTCAGGGTACCTAGAGCTTTGTACAGGTGGCTCATTTTAAACTTGAAATAAAAATAAATGAAACATAATAATTCATAGCAGGAATGGAATCCAGCAGTTCCAATTCCCAATCCTTGACTTCCAAATATCCATGTATTACTGCCTTTCATTAGAAAATGTTCAGCTGTCCATGGGCCAAGGGCACTTTGAAGGCAATGGGGATATAGAAGGGAAATAGTTGGGAAACTAGATTTTTATTATTCTATGGGGGCATGCTCACATCAGTTTTTTCAGGAGATTCCTCCGATGGAGGGGGAGAGAAAATATATTTAATGACACACTAGCATAGGTTGTAAGAAGGGATAAAAAGCAGAACCGTCAGCTACCAAGCACAGGTGTAACACCATTAGCTTGTAACAGTTGCAGGATCTTATCCTCTTACGTGGATCAGTCACTGAAGAAGAACAGGACACAATTAGCCAGCATGTAACATATGTTCTCTGCAGTCCTTCCAAATATCACTTTTTTCGAAGTTAAATAGTCTGTCATTTCACTTTGGGGCTTGAAGGCCATTTGGAAAATATGAAAAATGACTGAATGGATTTAACTGTTCAGGTTCCTGATACCTGCTGGAGCTTGCTGCTATTTTGGTAAGGTTCATAATTCAGTGAGCAAAAGAAAATTAGTTTAAACTAGGCTTATTCTCCTGGGCTCGGTAAATATTTTCTGTGCTGCTTGGAAACAAAGCACAAGTGTGTGTTTTGTTTTTAATCTTCTGCCATTATAAATTTGTATTTAAAAGAGGTTTAAAATTTGTGAATAGATTGGTGCTATGAACTGCAATCCTTCCTGACTAACTGGCATGCTACTGCAGCCAGAGAACAGTCACAGAAAAACCTGAAATCAGCTGATCAACCTGGGAAGCCAAAAATGACTGGTAACCTTATTTTTAATATCAAAATTATAAGTTCTGCACTTACATTAATCTCTCCTCCTGTTAAATCATAACACTCAAATGGTTTTAAAGATGATTTACTACCAAACCTTAACAAGTCTGTGCAGATGAAGGGAGCCAAGTGGGTGAATAGAACTTCCATGCACAAAGATGAGATCCAGATGGCAAAGCGTGGAAATGGGGACCTGTTGGAATTATGTTAGCTAGAAAACTGTTAAGACATGGATGGAGGCAGGTAGTAGGTATCTGTTTTCTGGTCAAAGATGATTCTCTAGGAAAGCAAAGGAGGACAGCTGGGAGAGATTTTAGAAAATGTCCTGTCTGAAAAGAAATTGAACCTTCCCTTTTCTGTGATAGTTTCCTCTGTATCTAAGATGAACTTGGGTTAACCTACATTAATGAGATGGCTTCACATGTGGACTGGAAAGGAAACCTTACAAGTACTAGTTCATGCAGTTTCTGGGTAGTTTGTCCCCAAAATAATCTGGTGGTTCTGTTTTCAATTTGCAGATTCCCTAACATCTGCATAGATGCCCCTTGTGTATGTTACTGCCCGTCCCACTCCCTCATGTCCACCCACAGATAGCACAACTCCTGCAGGAACTATGCATCCAGTGGGCCCCCCTTACTACAAGACAGAGGGAAAAGCAGTGCCAGTTAATATACTCTGTGCCAATATGCTAAACTTTCCCTGACACATTGA